GGCAGGAGGATCTCTGTGAGTTCGAGGCCAGCCTGGTCTCCAGAGCCAGTGCCAGGATAGGCTCCAAAGCTACACAGAGAAACCCTGTCTCGAAAAAAAGAAAAAAAGTCCATTTCAGCAACCAATTTTGTTTATTTTTCCTCATCTGCTTCTTTTGGGTGTTATTTATCCTAGTTTTCCCAAGGCTTTATGGTATATCATTAAGTTATTAACTTGATATCTCTAAAACTTTTTGATATAGACAATTAGTGTTATAAACCTTTCTTTTAGGGCTTCCTTCATTGTGTCCCATAGGTTGGGTATGCTATGTTTTTATTTTCATTCAAGTCTAGGAAACTTTAAATTTCCTTCTTGATTTCTTTGTTGACCCAGCCACCATTCAGTAGTGTGTTGTTTCTGTTAGTTCGTATGCTGTCTGTACTGTCTATTGATGGTGATATCTAGCTTCATTCCATTGTAGTCAGATAGATGCAGGGCGTTATTTCAGTTTTTCTGATCTCAGTTTTGCCTAGGATACTGTCTGTACTTACTTTAAGTGTGGCCTGCATATTTTTCTTTATGCAATGAAATGTATCCAACCTTGATTTATTTTTTTTAATTTTTTTTATTAGTTCAAATTAGGAACAAGCTTGTTTCACATGTCAATCTCTTCTCCCTCTCCCTCCCTCACCCCCATCCCTCTCCCCGGACCTACACCCCACCCCATCCACCCTCCACTCCCCAGGCAGGGTAGGGTCCTCAATGGGGGCTCCGCAAAGTCCACCACATCATCCTGGGCTGGGCCTAGGCCCTTCCCCATGTGTCCAGGGCAAGAGTGCATCCCTTCACTTGGGATGGGCTCTCAAAGTCCCTTCTTATACCAGCCAACCTTGATTTATAAATACAGCAATTACCTAAAAGAGTAGAGTTACTCTTGTTACTAGTGTCTGAATCTCAATCAATCACTAGGACACAACTGTTCAAATCAAGTTCCAAATGGTACACAGGAGCTATGACCGGTCAGATGTCTCTGCATCTCATCTCTGCATCTCACCTGATTTCCTTCATGTTCCCTCCTTCTCTCTGCCTCTTACAGACCTTGCTCATATCCTGGGACCAGGCACTCTGATCCATTTTGGGTCTACAGTGTTGCTCAAACAAGGAAGCATAAAGCCAACTAAAGATCTATGAAATTAAGTAAGGGAGCTCTCTCTTAAGTTAAGTCAGCATGAAAGTCTGTTTGAAGTAGAGACAGGCCATCCCTGGAATTCCCAGGCCAGCCAGCTTAGCCTTTTTAGGGAGTTCCTGCTTCAAAAATCAAGGTGGATAGCACCTTAGGTGTATTGTCTGAGGCTGATCTTGGGTCTCCACTTGTGCAGACATTCCCACTTGCACGAACACACACACACACACACACACACACACACACACACACACACACGCACAAAAAGGATCTATGAATCTAGCTTTGTTCTAATTTTCTCTCTTAAGACTGAGAATATTTCTACTGAACCACACATGCTTGATCTCATTCTAAGAGGCTGTATACAGGTTAACTAACTTCACAAAGATCCCAGGCTCTCCTCTTGCTATCTCAGGATCGGCCAGTTCTGTTTGCTTGGCTTTTGGTGGCTAAAACTCCTTTCCTAATACTTGGAGTCCTCACTCTGAGCCTTCTATTTCACATGTCAGGGGGCACTCACTGTGGGAGGAGTCAGTTCTTTCTCTGTAGCTGCCTAAATTATCTGTCTAGTCAATAGACACTTGTTAAGGGCATGCTGTATGCCAGGCAGTCTTGAGCTGCTGGGATCCAGTAATGAATTAGACATTGATAGTCTCTGCTCCCACCAAAGCACAGGTTTATAGGGATGACTTATTATAAAATCCCAAATCCTTTGGTTCAGTTTCACTCAAGAAATGGGACTGAAATCCAGCTTGCATTGGGTTTGGAGTTTGGCTCAACCGTAGAGTGCTTGCAGGAGTCAGGGTAAGGGTATGGACATAGGCTCACAATTCAAAGTTGTATCAAGGTCAACCCAAATGTCCTGAGAGTGAAAAGGTCTCGATTAATGTTTTCCTTGGCTGTGGAGATAAGGGAGACAATGCTAGCAATGTTCAGTCCTCAAAAGGACACAAAGAGTGTGGGGCGATGTCCCTGGACTTAATGGACAGTCCCTGTGTCTTGTCATAAAATGAATTTTTTTGGTGTATTTGCTGAAGAAGACAAGAAGCTATCCTCTTCGAGACTGCATCAATTTTAAGGAATGATGATAACTTTTTCCTCTCCAAAGTAGAGTTTTTCCTTTAATTTTTATTTCTGAAGTGGTTAGAGTTGAGCCTGGAACCATGGGCAAGCTGGCCAAGTGAGAACAACAACGTTACATCCCATTCCTGGGAGATAGTTTTGAAATTCCTGACCTTGAGATGTAGCTTTATGTAATTGTTGTGAGAAAGTATATTGCCTTCACTATATTTGTTTCCAAAGGGTGCTGAATGTGTTTACTACACAGAACTGAAATGTGCGCATCAGCTGTGTCCGAATCCATAGCCTCACTAACCATAATCTGTGGTGTTATTGTTCTATAAATGACTGATGCCCTTGACAGTCATGAAACAATAGATTCTTTGGTTTGACTTTATGAAATGCCTATGATATTATTAAAAAAACCAAAAAACCCCAAAACAAAACAAAACAAAACAAAAATTGTGATGTCTAAGAAAGGAATTTCTACACCTTTTCAGTGCTGAGAGTTGAATTCAGGGCCCCATAAATATTAAACATGAGTTAAACCCTGAGTTCAGTACAGGCTTTTTTTTTAATGTAATGAGAACTTTTCTATCTACACCTTATGGTTAAGCATTGAGTTAAACCCTGAGTTCAGTACATGTTTTATTTTTTTAATGTAATGAGAACTTGTCTATCTCCAACTTATGGTTGGAAAGATCAAGACAAACAGACAAACCAAAAAACCCCCAAGAGTTGTGTGGACAAGGAAACAATGTAACATAAAGTAGGTGCTGGAAATGAAATACCCAAGGCATTGGCTATGCAAGGACACAATCACTTATGTTTAGAGTGTCATGGTCCTTGGAGAAGGGCTCTGTGAGGATGAAGACAGTGAGCTATCCAAGCAAGTTCTACCACTGTGAGCATGCACAAGGCATTGCAACAGATGGTAGGGACTGGAAGGAGAAGAGCCAGAGTGCATGGCTCATCTGTGTCTCACCCCCTGAACATTTTCTCCCAGCAGTGTGTTATGCTCTTTTGCATTTCTTGCTTTGTAGGTTATGTGTTTTTCCCCTCCAGAATCTGGCTCTGTAGCCACCAGTAGTAATTACAGGTGTGTGTCACCAGACCTGGCTTTTTTTGTTGTCTCCTTCTTCTTCTTCTTCTTCTTCTTCTTCTTCTTCTTCTTCTTCTTCTTCTTCTTCTTCTTCTTCTTCTTCTTCTTCTTGATAGTTTTATTTGGGTGCTGGACTTTTTTTTTTACAGTCACAATTATTTTTGTCTTATCTTTCTGGACTTTTTTACAACCTACAGCATGTGGTCTGGAGTGGACAGAAGAAAGAGTAAGTGTGCTGAAAGAGCAAAAGAATTCACAAAAAACTGAAAACACAGTGAGAATAAGCAAATAAAACCCCAGAAACACAGAAGCCCATGGGAAATGACAGAAGACGTAATATTCATATCATTGAGTGATGGGAGGAGACAGGGAAAGAGCAGGCTAAGGGGGTATTTAATAAACTATTTCATCTTTCATACCTTTGGTTAGGTTTGCTCCAAGCGATATTGGGAATGGGCTTGTTTTTCTGATTTCTTTCTCAGTCATTCTTGGTACACAAGAAGGCTGTTGATTTGGTATATTAGTTTTGTAACCTGTTGCTTTTCTCAAAGTGCTTATCAGCTCTGTAAATTTCCTGAAGGAGTCTTCTCGACTGTTCTCCTCTCTCTGATCTCTCTCAGTGTTGTGAGCCAGCTGGCTGGACACACAGTGTGAGAAAGCCAAGGCCGAGATAACCTTGATGATCCTCCTGTTTTACTCCCAGTGCTGAGAGGCATTGGGGGAGCCTGGGACACCCTGCAGGTTCTGATGCACAGTGTCCAGAGCCAATAGCTGCCTGCAGACACTGTCCCTGAAAGCCTTGGACTCAGCTGCTGATTGTAGTGGCTGCTGGCCTGGGGTGGCACTGTGGTGTCAAGGTTCTGTGACCCGCCCCCAATTCTTGGAGCATTTCATCCAGTCACCAGCATTGACTTGAGCTGGACCTGGCAGCCATAAATCCTGACTGGTGGTCGTGTTTCTGAGGCACCCAAGAGAGTAGGAGCTGCACGCTGTTCCCTGGCTTCCAGTGATGGCATACTTCAGGTGACCCTTTCTGCTTCCTCTGGAGTTGTCAGAGTCTAAGATTCTGGCCCTGCCAGCTCTTCGAGGCATATGCCCTTCCTGAACGCCCGCAACCCCATCATCCTCAGTGTGCTCACCTGGAGTCCTCTAGATTTCCCACACCGCATTCCATAGGTCAGCCAGTCCTAAGGATTCGTGGTGCTAGTACCCAGACTACCTTTTCACGTCTCTCCACCCCAGCTCTTTCCTCTGCAGAATCCCCCTCTACCCTACCCTGCTGAGGGGCTGCATGTTGACAATGGGCACGACAGTGCAGTTGTGGATGAGGAGGTGCTTTGGTTGGGTCCTCCCTGGACCCTGTTCAAGGGGTGCCCTACCTTTCCTAAATCCTTTACCCCCAAGTGCCCAACCTTGTCCTGATGCGGGTGTGTCCTGTTTCAGGTCCTATGAGGGAGGATTTGTGGGAGCCCTGGAGTTGGGAGACTTGGGTGGAGCCGGGTGGAGCTGCAGCCTCCCTTACACTAGGTTTCCTGGGAGAACACCTGCCAGTGATGGGTGTCCTTTGCCACGGGCCTCTAGAAGGTTCTGGAGCAGCTTCCCAAGCCTCATGGCTCAAGGAGCCACTGTGTTCCCCTTGTCATTGTCTCTTTTCCTTGCAGCAAGTGTCTTTCCTGGAAGAGAACGATGGCCGTCTTCTTCCTGCCGCTTGTCTTAGCAGGTCTTGCTCCTCTCTCTGAATACAAAAATGCCTTGTTTAAAATGTCTGCTACCAGGTTGGTGCGAGCAGGGAGCGGGGAGCTTTGTTTCTTTTCCCGGGGAGAGGAAGGAACACTAGCGGTCTAGCCTGTTCTGCTAATGCTGGGAGGTCTGCAGCAGCCCCTATGCACCCGCACCTCCTTTCTCTTTTTCCCTCCAATCCAGGTTCAGCTGGTCTCGTCTAACCCCTTTCAAGCTGAAGAACAGATCTGTAGGACTTAGCACTGAAAGCAATGCTCAGGGCAAAGTGTACTTCACCCTGGACGGTCACAAGTTCATGATAGTTGGAGGCTCCATCCACTACTTCCGAGTGCCCAGGGAGTATTGGAAGGACCGCTTGCTGAAGCTTCAGGCCTGTGGATTCAACACTGTCACCACGTGAGTAGCTCTCTTCAGCCTTCGTGACCTAGTAGCCTACAGGACTCCTGTCAGGGTTGCAGACTGACAAAGTCATGTTCTGCGTTTGTCAGCACAGCGTGAAGAGTTAGCTCTGACTAGGCATTTCCAGCGGATCCTTTTACAATTGTGTCCAGTTGTTCCTTAAATAGCATACTTAGCTTTGTGATCAAAGCCTTGGACAAGGTTGTTAGAGTATGCGTGCTTTTTCAGCAAGTGTCATTGGGCCACTTAGTGGGTACATAGTTTAATATTTTTTTTAATTCTTAATGGTGGAATCAAAGATCTTTCCTAAAAAGTCAATCTACTTATTTATTCTATGTGTTTTCATATCATGAATCTTGATCTTATTCATTCCCCACCTGTCCCTCCACCCCTCAATCCCCTCCCAATAAAACAAAATTCAAGAGGAAAAAAGAAGGAGGAAAATAAAATGAGTAAAATAAAAAGGGAAGGAATTAAAAATCTCATCATGGAGGCTGCAGTGTGACCCAACAAATTACACAGTATACTCCTTTGTCCACAAATCTCTACTTGCAAGTGTCCATTGCAAAGACTCATTGGCCTGGTTCGAGGTTCCTGGTCTCCACTACATTTCAATGCTAGGGCCTCCACTAGGACTCTTCCTGAACGTCCACTGGCGCCCTTTGTTGTGGAGATGCTGAAGCTTTGGGTGTCTGGATCAGGTCCCTTCATGTGCCCCAGCAAACCATAGATGGGGTGGATATTGGGGCACGCCAAGTCATAACCCTGGATCTGGGCTTGGGCAGCTGTAGGGTTCGTCTGCCAGGTGGGAAATGAGGACAGCTCTCCCATGGTCACAGAAACAAAGAGATCTTAATCTGAAGCTTCTATAATAGCTACCTATTTTTGTTGTTGAAATATATACCCATATCATTTCTTTGCTGTTTATTTATTTTTTATTTTTCCTCCACTTTTTATTTAACTTAGAAACAAGATTGTTTTACATGTCCATCCCAGTTCCCTCTCCCTCCCCTCCTCCTCTGCCACTAACACCCTACCTATCCCATACCATTTCTGCTCCCCAGGGAGAGTGAGGTCTTCCATGGGGGAATTTCCAGAGTCTGTCACATCCTTTGGGATAGGGCCTAGACCCTCCCCAGTATGTCTAGGCTGAGGGAGTATCCCTCTATGTGAAATGGGATCCCAAAGTCCATTCCTATGATAAGGATAAGTACTGATCTACTACAAGAGGCCCCATGGATTTCTGAGGCCTCCTCACTGACACCCACATTCCTGGGGTCTGCATCAGTTTCAGGCTAGTTTCCCACTGATCAGTCTGGGAGCCAAGAGCTCCCACTTGTTCAGGTCAGCTGTTGCTGTGGGTTTCAGCACCCTATTCTTGTCCAGTTTTCTCATCACTCCTCCTCCTCTGCAACTGGATTCCAGTTCAGTTCAGTGTTTAGGTGTTGGTATCTGCTTCTACTTACATCAGCTGCTAGATGAAGTCTCTAGGAGGGCATATAAGTTAGTCATCAATCTCATTATCAGGGGAGGGCATTTAAGGTAGCCTCTCCACTGTTGCTTAGAATGTTAGTTGGTGTCATCCTTGTAGATCTCTGGACATTTCCCTAGTGCCTAATTTCTCTTTAAACCTATACTGGCTCCCTCTCTGATGGTATCTCTTATTTGCTCTCCTTTATTCTTCCCCTACACAACTTTCCTGCTCTTTATGTCCTCCTCACTCCTCCTTTTCTCCCCTTCTCAATCTCCTAGCTCCCTCCCTTCTCCCCCCCCCCATGCTCCAGATTTGCTCAGCAGATCTTGACCCTTTCCCCTTCTCTGGGGGACCATGTATATCGCTCTTAGGGTCCTTCTTGTTGCCTAACTTCTCTAGTGGTGTGGATTGTAGGCTGGTAATCCTTTACTCTATGTCTAATATCCATATATGAATGAGTACATACCATATATGCCTTTTTGTGACTGGCTTACCTCACTCAGAACTGTTTCTTCTAGTTCCATTTATTTACCTTCGAATTTCAAGATTCCATTTTTTTTTCTGCTGAGTAGTACGCAATTGTGTAAATGAACCACAATTTCAGTTTCCATTCTTCAGTTGAGGGGCCTCTAGGTTGCTTCCAGGTTCTAGTTATTACAAATAATGCTGCTATGAACATCGTTGAACAGATGTCTTTGTTGTATGAACGTGCTTCTTTTGGGTATATGCCTAAGAGTGGGATTGCTGGATCTTGAGGTAGACTGATTCCCATTTTCCTGAGGAATCACTATACTGATTTCCAAAGTGGCTGTACAAGTTTGCACTCCCACCAGCAGTGGAGGAGTGTTCCCCTTTCTCCACATCCTCTCCAGCATAAACTGTCACGGTATTATTGATTTTAGCCATTCTGACAGGAGTAAGATGGTATCTCAGAGTTGTTTTTATTTGAATTTCCCTGATGACTAATGATGTTAAGCACGTTCTTATGTGTCTTTCAGCCATTTTAGATTCCTTTATTTAGTTTCTCTATTTATTTAGATTTATTTATTTAGATTCTCTATTTAGTTCTGCACCCCACTTTTTAATTGGATTATTTGGTGTTTTGGAAACTAGCTTTTTGAGTTCTTTGTAAATTTTGGAGATCAGCCCTCTGTCGAATATGGGGTTGGTGAATATCTTTTTCCATTCTGTGGGCTGCCATTTTGTCTTGCTGACTGTGTCCTTTGCCTTACAGAAGCTTCTCAGTTTCAGGAGGTCCCATTTATTAATTGTCGATTTCAGTGTCTGTGCTATAGGTTTAATGTTCAGGAAGTTGTTTCCTGCACCAATTCATTCAAGGCTATTTGCCACTTTCTATTCTAAGAGGTTCAGTGTGGCTGGATTTATGTTTCGGTCTTTTATCCATTTGGACTTAAGTTTTGTGCATGGCGATAGACATGGATCTATCTGCAGTCTTCTACATGCCAGCATCCACTTATGCCAACACCATTCTTTGAAGATACTCTCCTTATTTCATTGTATATCTTTAGCTTCTTTGTCAAAAATCAGGTGTTCATAGGTATGTGGGTTAATATTAGGGGTTTCAGTTTGATTCTATTGGTCTACCTGCCTATTTTTGAGCCAATACCAAGCTGTTTTCAGGACTATAGCTCTATAATAGAGCTTGAAGTCAGGGATGGTGATGCCTCTGGAAATTCCTTTATTGAACAGGATTGTTTTGGCTATCCTGGGTCTTGTGTTTCTCTATATAAAGTTGAGTATTGTTCTTTCAATGTCTGTGAAAAATTGTGCTGGTATTGTTCTTTCAATGTCTATGAAAAATTGTGCTGGGGTTTTGATGGGGATTGCATTGAATCTGTAGATTGCTTTTGGCAAGATTGCCATTTTTACTATGTTGATCCTGCCTATTCATGAGCATGGGAGATCTTTCTGTTTTCTGGTATCTTCTTTAATTTCTTTCTTTGAAGACTCAAAATTCTTGCTATACAGGTATTTCAATTGTTTGGTTAGTGTTACCCCAAGATATTTTATATTGCTTGTGGCTATTGTAAAGGGTGATTTTTCTCAACCTTCCTATCATCTGTATATAGTAGGGCTACTGATTTTTTTGAGTTAATCTTGTATCCTGCCACTTTGCTGAAGCTGTTTATCAACTGTAGGAGTTCCCTGGTAGAGTTTTCGGATCACTTATGTAAACTATCATATCATCTGCAAACAGTGAAAGTTTGACTTTTTCCTTTCCAATTTGTATCCCCTTGATCTCCTTTTGTTGTCTTATTGCTCTAGCTAGCACTTCAAGTACAATATTGAAGAGATATGGAAAGAGTGGAGAGCCTTGTCTTGTTCCTGGTTTTAGAGGAATCGCGTTGAGTTTCTAGTTTGATGTTGGCTGTTTGTTTACTGTGTATAGTTTTTATTATGTTCAGGTACATTCCTGTTATCCCCGATCTCTTCAGGGCCTTTATTATGAAGGGGTGTTGGATTTTGTTAAAGACTTTTCAACATCTAGTGAGATGATCATGTGGTTTTTCTTTTTCACTTTGTTTATATGGTAGATTACATTGATAGATTTACTATGTTGAATCAACCTTGAATCCTGGGAATGATGCCTACTTGATCATGGTGGATGATTTTTCTGATATGTTCTTGGATTCGGTTTGCCAGTATTTTATTGAGTATTTTTGCATCAATGTTCATGAGGAATATTTGTCTGTAGCTCTCTTTCTTAGTTGTGTCTTTGTGTGGTTTGGGTACCAAGGTAATGGTAGCCTCATAAAAAAAAGTTTGACAATGAACCTTCTGCTTCTATTGTGTGGAACAATTTGAGGAGTATTGGTATTAGCTCTTCTTTGAATTTCTGGTAGAATTCTGCACTGAAGCCATCTGGTCCTGGACTTTTTTTGGTTGGGACGCTTTTGATGACTGCTTCTATTTCATTAGGGTTTATAGGTCTGTTTAAGTTGCTTATCTGTTTGTGATTCAATTTTGGTAAGTGATATCTGTACAGAAAATTGTCCATTTCCTTTAAATTTTCCAATTTTGTGGAGTACACGGTTTCAAAGTATGACCTGAAGATTCTCTGGATTTCCTCAGTGTCCATTGTTATGTACCCCTTTTCATTTCTGATTTTGTTAGTTTGCATGTTCTCTCTCTGCCTTTTGGTTAGTTTGGATAAAGGTTTGTCTATCTTGTTGATTTTTCTCAGAGAACCAACTCTTTGTTACATTGATTCTTTGAATTGTTTTCTTAATTATGACTTCATTGATTTCTGCCCTTAGTTTGATTATTTCCTGGCCTCTACTCATCCCGGGTGAATTTGCTTCCATTTGTTCTAGAGCTTTCAGTTGCGATGCCAACTCTCTGGTGTGACTATTCTCTAGTTTCTTTCTGTGAGCACTTAGAGCTATGAACTTTTTCTTAGTACTGCTTTCAAAGTGTCCCATAAACTTGGGTATGTTGTGTCTTCATTTTCATTGAATTCTAGGAAGTCTTTTATTTCTTTCTTTATTTTTTTGCTGACTCTGGAATGGTGTGATGGGGAATGTCCTGTGTATGTTTATCTTATTGGTTGTTGAATAAAGCACTGTTCAGTCAACGAGGAAGCAGGATAGGTGTGACTAGGAGTCTAGGAAGATTCTGGGAAATGTAGTAAGAAGTCTTGCAATCCAGGCAGGAAGTGACATAGCAGGCAAACTCAGAATATAAGCAGGGCACTTCCTCTTCCTCTTGCTCTCTTCTCTATGGAGCTGCCTTGTGATCCAGGAAGAGGATGCCAGCGGAAGGCGTCCTCAATAAGATTAAGTCTTATAAAATATATAGATTTATGATAATTAAGATTGAGCTAGCAACTCCGCCCTCTGTCCTACGGTGGGTGCCTGAGCCTCAGAGCCCTCATCCAGTGGCTGATGGAAGCAGAGGCAGACACCCACAGGTATACACTGAACTGCAATCTGGAACTTAGTTGCAGAGAGGGAGGAATGAAGATCAAAAGGGACGGTACCAGGCTGGTGAAACCCACAGAATCAGCTGGCCTGTACAAGGGGGAGCACATGGACCCCAGACTGCTGTCTGGGAGGTCAGTACAGGACTGACCAGACCCCTGAACATGGATGTCAATTAGGAGACCTCCAAACTCTAGGGGGGCCCTGGTAGTGGATCAGTATTTTTCCCTGGTGTAAGAAGGGACTTTGAGAGCCCATCTCATATGGAGGGATGCACTGTCTGCCTGGACACAAGGGAGAGGGCCTAGGCCCAGCCCAGGATGATGTGATGGACTTTGGGGAACCCCGTTGAGGGCCCTATCCTGCCTGGTGAGTAGAGGGTGGATGGGTGGAGGGGTAGTTGGGGGGATGGGGGAGAGGGATGAGGGTAGGGGAAGGAGAGGGAGAAAGGATTGACATGTGAAACAAGCTTGTTCCTAAATTGAACTAATAAAAAATTACAAAAAACAAAACAAAACAAAACAAAACAAACAACAACAATAACAAAAAACAAAACCAAAAAGACTGAGCTAGCATATAAGAAATCCTAGTCAATTGGCCAGCAGCATTCTAAACTAAGACTCTGTGTGTTATTCTGGGCACCCATGTGGCGGCGGAGCTTGGGCAGATGGAGTAAAGACTTATCATTACAATGGTGCAATTTTGCAATGTTCAATTTTCATGATTTGATAGGTTTTCTGCAGTTTGTGTTGTTTTTGAATTCTAACTTTAAAGCATTGTGGTCTGATAAGACACAGGGGTTATTTTAATTTTTTTTGTACCTGTTAAGGTTTGCTATGTTGCTGATTTTAGAGAAGGTTCCATGTGGTACTGAAAAGAAGGTATATTGTTTTGTATTTGGATGGAATGTTCTATAGACGTCTGTTAATCCCAACTGGGTCATAACTTCTGTTAGTTCCTTTGTCTCTTTGTTAAGTTTCTGTCTGGTGGATCTGTCCAGTGGTGAGAGTGGGGTGTTAAAGTCTTCTACTATAACTGTGTGAGGTCTTATTTGTGATTTGAGTTTTAATAATGTTTCTTTTATGAACATTGGTGCCTTTGTATTTGGGGAATAGATGTTTAGAATTGAGAATTCTTCCTGATGGATTTTTCCTGTGATGAATATGAAATGGCCTTCTTCATCTCTTCTGATTGATTTTAGTTTGAAGTCTAATTTGTTAGATACCAAGATAGCTACCCCAGCTTGTTTCTTGGGTCCATTTGATTGGAATATCTTATCCCAACCCTTTACTCTGAGGTAATGTCTGTCTTTGAATTTGAGGTGTGTTTCTTGTATTCAGCAGAAGGATGGATTCTGTCTTCGTATCCATTTTGTTATAGTCGAGTTAAGCCCATTAATATTGAGGGAAATTAAGGACCATTGAGTGCTTATTTTTTGTTGTTGTTGTTTTTTATTTGTTGTTGGTAGTGGTACTGCATGTGGATTTACCCTGCTTTTTCTTTTGGCTTTTGGTAAAGTGGGATTATCTATTGCCTATGTTTTTGTGAGTGTAGTTAATTTTCTTAGGTTGGAGTTTTTCTTCCAGTATTTTCTGTATGGCTTGTTTTGTGATCACATATTGTTTAAATCTGGTTTTGTCATAGAATATCTTGTTTTCTCCATTTATAGTGATTAAAATCTTTGCTGGGTAGTAGTCTGGGTTGGCATCTGTGTTCTCTTAGAGTTGGTAGAATATCTATCCAGGTCCTTCTGGCTTTCAGAGTTTCCATGGAGAAGTCTGGTGTAATTCTGATAGGTTTGCCTTTATGTTACTTGGCCTTTTTTCTTTGCTGTTCTTAATATTATCTCTTTATTCTGTATGTTTGGTGTTTTAATTATTATGTGGCAAGGGGACTTTCTTTTTGGTCCACTCTATTTGGTGTTCTGTAGGCTTCTTTTACTTTCATTGGCATGTCTTTTTTTAGGTTGAGAAAGTTTTCTTCTATGATTTTGTTGAATATGTTTTCTGCACCTTTGAGTTGGGTTTCTTCACCTTCTTCTATACCTATTATCCTTAGGTTTGGTCTTTTCATGGTGTTCCATATTTTCTGGATATTTTGTGTTAAGGATTTTTTGGACTTAAGATTTTCTTTGCTTGATGAATCAATTTCCTCTAGTTTATCTCCAGCATCTGAGATTCTGTCTTCCATCTCTTGTATTCTGTTGGTTATGCTTGCATCTGTGGTTCCTGATTGTTTACTCAGCTTTTCTACTTCCAGCATTCCCTCAATTAGTGTTTTCTTTATTGTCTCTATTTCAGTTTTCAGGTCTTGAACTGTCTGAATTGTTTCCTTCAGCTGTTTGTATTTTCTTGGCTTTCCTTAAAAGATTTGTTGATTTCTTGCATTTTTTGTTTTGTCTTTTCTTCCATTTGTCTGAAGGATTTTCTCATTTTGTCTCTTAGGGTCTCTATCATCTGCATGAAGTTGTTTTTAAGGCTGCTCTCTTCTGCTTCATCTGTGTTGGGATGTTCAGGTCTTGATGGCGAAGAGTCCATAGACTCTGGTGGCATCATATTGATTTTTCTGTTATTGGATGTGTTCTTATATTGCCATCTTCCCATCTCTTCTTCCAGTGTGTGCATGTGGTGTCTCTGCCTTTCTTGGTGTGTACAGATCCAAGGTTCTCTTCTGGTGGGTGCAAGAGGGTCTGATACTCTGATGGGTGTCAAGGTAGGTTCAGGAGGGTTTGAAGCACTTGCTCTCCAGGTGGGTGGGAGCGGGGCTAGCACAGAGATGTCAGAAGACTCTGGGTTGCTTGGTCCTCAGGGGACTAGTTGACCTGCCAGCAAGACCCCAGGACAGGAGTTCCCAGAGTGGATAGGCAGAAGCTGGGTCCAAGGCAGGGGCCGAAGCAGCTTATCTCTGCCCTGAGTGGGGGTGGGAGTAGCCTAGTGATCTCAGCAGACTCAGGGTTGCCTGGTCCTCAGGGGCCAAGTCGACCTGCCTGCAGACCCCAGGACGGGGTCTTTTGCTGTTTATTATCTTTGTTTCTTAGTCATTTCATTCCTCCAAGTCTGGCTTGGAGCTGCTTTATCCATCTCTTCTCTGAGCCAGTTTCTTGCTTTACTCAATGCTACCTCATTAAGTGGATAGAAAGTCATGACAGTATATTTGCTGGATGGATCCTTTTCTGCTTTTATTTCAGACCACATTTACTATCAATTCTCAAATTTAGAAATGATTTTCCTGCTAGTAGTTGAAGGAGCAGTTTTACCTTATCTGTGTATTATTTTATTTTTATTTTTCCATACCTTTTCCTTAAAGTCACCTGTAAGTAGCATTCATAATTTTCATTCTGTTCTCACAAGTTATAGCTATAAATGAATGCTATGGATAGTTTTTAGAAGATGAACTTTTTCATTCCTCCACCTAAATACTGTCAGTTCCATTATCATACAACACTTTTATTACCTTATATCTCTCACTGCATGAAACTGTGTTTAAAAATCAGAGCTTTTTGAGAAACAGGATGTCAGGAGCCCTACACTCCAAACTGTGTTATCAACACACACAAAGTCATGTAGTATGAACAAAACACATGTCCTTTAACATGGGGTACTCTTAGCCCTGTGGATGTTAGCCCTGGCTGCCTCTCTCCTTCTTGAGCTTGAGAGGTGGGAGTGTTCTTTTTCTTACTTGCTTGTATAAATTATTTGATTATTCTTATTTTAGTTAATTCTTAGTAATAATTGTTGAGAATATTTTGTTGTGTTTTTTTTCCTGTATAATTTTTGATAGTTATTTAAAAGAGTGGGGCTTTGGGAGAACCTATGAAAACCTAGGATAATCAGTATCTTGAAGCATAGTTGGATAATAGGTGAAATATGGTTTTGTCTGTGCAAAAGAAGTTAATTTTCATTGGAAGCTTCAACTCAATGCAACATAGACACACTAGGGCTTAGAATGCCGTCTGAATAGGGGGGAATATGATGCTCATTGTACTTCTTTGTCCCCTCTTCTAGCTACATCCCATGGAACCTCCATGAACAGAATAGGGGGACATTTGACTTCTCTGAGATCCTGGACCTAGAGTATGTGGTTGTTCTGCTTCTGTGAGTTGACCAAGGAAGCCTGCAGCAGGGGAGGAGGATACTTGGCATCTAAGAGTAGCCCTCAGTGTGTCTCAGCTCTGAAGTCTTGTTCTTAGGAGAAAGGGTCTGCACCCAGAATCTGGGCATTCCCTACCCATGACCTGCCACCCTATAACTTCTGGCCTTCCTTTTCTCAGAAGCTAGGGGCCTAGACACTAGATGTTGCCAGACTATAGAGAAGTTAATCACCTGAGTTGAGATTGGGGCTTCCTCAGGTTTGCAAGGCTGATGCTGGGCACTGAGCCCCTATACTCAATGCGGCCTCTCCAGTAGGCCTCTGGGAATGGTTGTGATGTTGAGAGTAAGTACAGACCCGGCTCACAGGGCCTCTGGTCTTCTCCCTGGTGTAGGGGTTCCCTGCTAGGTTGGTTTAAGGAGAATCCACTCCCTGCCCTGATTGAGAGAGGAAGGGAAGGAAGATAGAGGACATCCCTAGATACTGTTTTATCTGTGGGTTCCCTCTATGCCCAACCTCCCCTTTGGGACACACAGAAAGGGACTGACTTTGTTTCCCCTCCTAGGGCCTATGTTTCGCTGGCTGCAACTCTAGGGCTGTGGGTGATTCTTCGACCAGGGCCGTACATCTGTGCTGAGGTTGACCTAGGTGGGTTACCCAGGTGAGCTACCCCAGAATCCAGTGCTGTGGCTTAGGAAGGTGTTTCGCTTTACAGTGAGTAACATTTCAAGGCAGCTGGCATGACTATTACTGTCACTAATTGTGTCCTGAATTGAACTCTGGACTTCCTGCCCTGACAGTGATGCCTACAGAGAGATGGGGAGGTTTGTGTTCTGCTGTCATCCTGGGTTGCAGACCCCTTGAGATGGGGGTCCTGGTACATTGAGCATTTGGCCATGAAGACCAGTGCAAGAGCAGCTGTGGCCATGCAGGGATCACCTTCCTGTTGCTCCACAGAAAGCATGTAATGGACATCTGCATTGTTTTCATGAACTGAAAGAAAGGGACTCTAGAGGAACATGATGACAACTTCTGGACTCATTCTTGAGACCCAGATGTGTCTCTGGCTGAAGACAGGCCACCTTCCCACATGCTGAGACCTCAGCTCCTTTTCTGCCTTCTTGCTTTTCTGGCTTGTTCTCTCATCATAACACCTACCCTGAGCCCAGCTGATAGAGACCCAGGGTGAGAATACAGGGTCCTTTTCTGTCATCCTTCTCAGTGACAGGACACTAGTACTTCTAGGTTATGCCTTCAGGTTAGCCCTGCTGCTCCGTGGGTCAGAAAGTAAAACAAAGTTTTCCTTCAAGCTAAGGCTCTGCTACAACCAGGTGGTGTACAGAAGAAGCCTGAGCTTTGGCTGTGGGAGTCCTGGGGAAGCCAATTACTCTGTGAATGGCTTGGTAGCCTGGCCCTTCCCCTCTCCAGTGACACGTGTAGGATGTTCATTGGCCTATGAGCTTCTGTTTTGTTTGGAGTCTTAGATCTTAGAGAAAAATGTGACCCTGAGCCTGTGGAGTAGAGACCATGATAAGGACTAAAGATCATGTTCTATTCTAGAGAGCTGAAGGAGTATGGAGTTCTGGGAAGAATGGAAAAAAAAGCTAACACTTGCAAGTGTTGCCAGGATCAGTCCTTCAGCTTGAGTCATCAGAACTGGAAAGGTCTAAAGTGCCTTGAGCTGGTGGTGGCTTCTTTCTTTGTTTGATTCACACATCTCTGCAGTCCTTGGGGGATATTGTGAAAAGCTCCTATGATACGATCTCTTGAGCACCTGGAGTATTGAGACGCTTTGGTTATTAGGTGGACAGAAAGACTTCCAGTGATAGGTGGCTCTGAGCAGAGACCTCTGCTGTGCCCAGCTGGCCAGAGCCATCTTCTTTCCCACTTTCTGTTTCACATCCTAATGTTTTGCTTCCTTGTCCCTAGCTGGCTTCTGGGCTACCCTGAGTTACAACTGAGAACAACCCAACAAGAATTTCTTGATGCTGTTGATAAGTATTTTGATCATCTGATTCCCAGAATACTTCCTCTCCAGGTGAAAATGTCCCTCCTCATAGTTATCAGAAAGAGCAGGGTGGCTGTGAAAAATGAAAGCAGAGATGAGTTACCCTTCAGGTGCACTTTATTAGCAGGGTTGGAAAACCACGGACTGAAGTTAGAAGAGTAATGTCATACCACGGGCAGCGTGATGGCATCTTGGGAGAGTCTCCAATTTGAAAGGATAAGGGGGAGTTTATAATTGCTACAAGCTTTTCTGTTTTGTGCTTTGGAGAGGTTTGGGTGAGCTCCATACTAAGTGACTTAGCCAGTATGCCAACAGTCACAGGAAGGGAGACACCAGATAAAAGTAAGATTGCAGTTCAGACTCCCACAACATGGTTTATCGGTACTCTGTCTCGAGAGCTGCAAGGAAGCCTGGCCTGACTTCTGGGGCAGGGGGTAGGGGCTGCTAGAAGATCTGCTAACAACATTCACTTTAGAGAAATACTGTGGCTCATCATTGAGTATGTCATCCCCAGTTTCTCTGGGATATTAAACTGACTTTCTTACAAGTTAGAGCTAGACCCGCAAGTGAAGCATAGACTCCTTGATTGGTCCTTGTGGCTTTGACCCAGAGCTTCTAAAAAGGCATCACATGAGACAGGGATCACACAAAAGGTTGTTCCAGTTGTCTGTCTGTATGTGGCTGATATCTGCTAAACTCACTGATCAGCAGTCACTGACAAGGAATACTCTAAATTACCCCTGTTGTTTTAACTGGTTAATGTTGGGGGAAATTCAAAAGAATGTAAAAAATTATGGTAAATTAAATTCTTTCTATGCTGCCCATAGTAATTTTAGTTGTCTTTTTAGGGGACAACCATTTTTAAACCTTATTTTTTTATATAATCCCCCCATTTCAGCATACAAAAGTATGTGTATGCATGTTCTTTTTAATAAAAAGTATAGAACTCCTTTGCATTTGAGGACAAGAAGCTGATGACGAATGGAGCCAGTGGTTTTCTTCCTGGGTATTAATAGCATCCAGTTAGTCCTTATTGAGCACAGGCTCTGTGTCACTTCCATGGTGACAAGATAATGGAAACCAATCAGTTTAGAAGGAAAGAGGGAAAGTACATAAAAGACAGGGGACTATGTGAAGTACCTGCTCATGGGGGTGGGGTGGGGAAGAGAGTGGAGGGGGTTCATTCTAAGACAGGAGGAGTGGAGAGGAAGCCTACGGGATGGATTAGGTGGAAAGGTAGATAGGGTAGATGTGGAAGTGAGTTTTCGGGTTTGAGTGCTCATAGCTAATGAATTATGAGAAACAGAAAAACAAAACAAAACAAAACAAAACTGCTGGTCCTATTACCACAAAGCATTGTGGAAGGTAGAACATCAGGAGCTTACATGCCTGGGGATGAATGAAGTTGCCAGTTTCCAACAGACCTGACAGAAAGCACCATATCAGTTCTGGTATCCTTATTAGCAGTCCTAGACTCCAGGCTTCTGCTCCAATAGCAAGTTTGTTCTCCAACCATGATCTGTTTGCTTTTTAGTACCTCCGTGGAGGCCCTGTTATTGCTGTCCAGATAGAAAATGAATATGGTTCATTTAGTAAGGATGGGGACTACATGGAATACATTAAGGAGGTAAGTAAGAATAGTTGCTTTGCACCCATATTTTTAAGACTTCTTCCTAATTTTGTACCTTTCTAAATTGCATGCCCGATTTCCAGCCTCATGGGAGTTCTGTGAACAGACCATTAGGAAACTAGTGAGAGAATGAAGAAATGATTTCACCCAAGTCTAGGTTAATCAATCAGTGATCTTATTGGGATTATTTACAGAGGCATGGGTGAGTCAAAGATAGCTGCATCACTGAAAAGCCCATACAGAACTGTCTTTGGAGCTCCTGGCATGATTTGCAGACAATTTGGCTGGTTGTAGTCTCCCCTTTATAGCAGTTGTTACTGACTGTGTAATGCTGGGGAGGAGCCTGTGAACCTTCTGTTTCAGGAGCTTTCTGGTCCTTGTAGGATTTGTTTACTTCTCGGGCCTTTGAGGTTTCATTTACTTTCTGAGTTTCTCTCTTCCATCCAGGAGGTAATGTTTTAATTTGGAGGAAATAAATACTTACTGATGATCTCCATCATTAACACGTGAACATCAAGTTTAAATTATTTTTATTGATGTCCCACATAATCATGTCAATCAAGATAAATATGAATAACTTTGTTATTAGACACAATGTGATATTAGGAACTCTTGCTCTAGGATCTTATTAAATATGGAAATTCGGTACCCCTGTTCAAAATTTGTCATGCCTTGCAGCTTCTTGATTCATAGTATTTATGTCCATCTTCTTGCATCAGCGATTATTGACAGTCATGCTAGTGTCTTTTCTTGTAGCTTACAGTACTCCTTGTGCTTGCCTTTCCTCCCTTGAGGAATCCAGGAGGCTCCAGTCTCAGCTGGACTCTGTCCTCAGAGTACAAAGCATGTTACAACTTCCAGGTTCTGATCTGACTCAACTAGATGTGGTATTACCTACTTGGCTCTGCCAGCAAAGAAACTGGGAACTGATAACCTGAACTCAGTCAGTGATATTCGGCTAGTATTATTTTTCTTCTTGATTTTTTTTAAGTTATTGAGCTGGGTGGGTAGTGCATCCCTGTAATCTCAGCACTTAGGAGGCAGAGGAAGGCAGGAGGATCAAGCACTCAAGAGCATCCTCAGCTACGTAGCAAGTTCAAGGGCAGTTTAGTCTCCAGGAAACCCTATCTTAAACAACAGCAACAACAAGGGTTACCACTAACTTCATTCCTAGGATTCTGTGTGGCTACATGAATGCATTGGGTGGGAAGACCCTCTGCTTTCTGAGCCATCAGTCTGATTTCCAGGACCTATGATACAAGCAGTTTTCAGAATACAGCTCCCCCTTCCCACAAACACAGTAGCATTTCTTGTTTCTGCTGATAGAATCCATGTAGAACTCAAGCTCTGTTAGTTTATTGGTACTCTTAGGACCTAACAAGGTCAGCCTCTCCCTTACAGTGTGGGGGAGTTTGAGGCAACTAGAAAGACCATCAGACAAAACTTAAAATATAAAAACAAGTTTATTTATAGCAACATTATGGCAACAGCTTCTTTTGCCAATCTGAGAACTGCTGCAAAAAAGAAGACAGACAGGGACTGGAGTTTTTAAAGGCACACACCACAACTGTCTCAACCCTGGGGATTTTCTGCTATGTGAGACATTTGTCTCTGTCCCCACCCCTTTTAAGAAAGCAGCAGTTAAGTGAGATTATTGTTGGATAACAATAATAATAAAGATGATAATAAAGGAAGGGGAAATAATTTTGAGAAATAAGCCAAGTGGCTCTGAGATCAGCATCCTCTTTAGAGCGCTGTCAAGACTCTCATCTTGTGATGGGACCTTAGTTAAGGTCCAAGCGTCCCATGGCTACCAATGCTTGGGCTAAGAATAAGGGCCCAAGGTTTTTCTTTTTTTTTTACACAACTTCATTTGAAATGGAGCTAGCATTTAAGCCTTACAACAGCACCAAATATCTTCCATCTTTTTTCTCCCTGTTGTAATTTACATACTCCCATAGTGTGGTCATTGAGAAACTCAGCTCTCATTTACCGTGTGTCAAGTCCCACAGACCTCCACTGCTTTAGTGTAGCATCTGGAACCACACCAAGCTGAGCCTAAAGCAGCAATTTCCTCATTGCCTAAGATGTAGGTGGTCACTTTGCCTTCAGGCCTTTCTGTGTTAGCCAACTTCTCAATATTGTAACAGATACCTTATATATAATCAAAGCAGTCATATGCACGTATGAAAAATCATAATGAAACCTATTATTCTGTATAATTAATATATGCCAATTGAAAAGTACAAGATACCTGAAATAATTAATCTTTAAGCACAATAGACTTACATTGACTCATAGAGCTGTAATCCCAGTCCATGATTGGTTGGCTCTAATGGGACATGTATTGAAAAATAGTGCATGTCGGGGCTGGAGAGATGGCTCAGAGGTTAAGAGCACTGACTGCTCTTCCAGAGGTCCTGAGTTCAATTCCTAGCAACCACATGGTGGCTCACAACCATCCGTTATGAGATCTGGTGCCCTCTTCTGGTGTGCAAATACATATGGAAGCAGAATGTTGTATGCATAATAAATAAGTAAAATCCTTAAAAAAAAGAAAAGAAAAATAGTGTATGTCACCACAGAAGTGCCAGACAGAATCAAACCACTAACTTCCTGATCTGGTAGTGCAAAGAAAGAGAATGGAACTGAATTACCACTGCATCCTTTCAGAACATGCCTCCAAAGACCTAAAGATCTCATCTTAGGCTCCACTTTCTAAGGTGTCTACCATCTTCTGCTGGCATCATGCTGAGCACCAATTCTTTACCATATGGACATTTGGGAGACATTCCATATACCTATTTTGTAGTTCACACACTCTCCATGTGAACCAAACTGCCTTTATTATCTAATTTCCCAATCTTTGCTCTTTCCCCTGGGAGCAAGAAAAGTGGGTTCATAATCTTCATTTCCCAACAGGCTCTGCAGAAGAGAGGGATTGTAGAGCTCCTCTTGACCTCAGATAATCACAAGGGAATTCAGACTGGCTCCGTCAAAGGAGGTATTGGTTTACAGTTACTTTACAGGACAACCAAGGCTCTTAGCCAACCAACATACATTGTAAAGAAGAATCAGATGTATTTCTGATCCTCTTCCCCATGTCTATTGAGGTGGATCCCAGAGATTTGATATGATATAAAATGAAGTTCAACATCAAAGCCCAGAGTTTAAATACCACGAGTGCCATTTTTTCCCTCTTTGAACAGAGTATTGATGGAACTCTTCATCCTGAGTATAACTTTTAATTTTTAAAATAATTTCATAGGTAGAAATCTAGGCTGGTTGGGGACATGGCTCAGGGCCTGCTCATCCCCACCAGCATGGGCAGTCACATAGGCAGCTATTGAATGGGTGTAAACAAAACACACTGCAACCAAAGTGTCAGTTCTGGTATCACATAGTCTTAGTCATAGTCATAGACTCAACATAGATACTTAGCAGGTCCCAGAGAATTCAGTAGACTCATGAAGTGACAATAGTATGGAAAAATGCCAAGAGCACGTGGAAGGGTTCCAGGGAATATAATGAAGTATTCTTTACTACAGGCTGGCAGCTAATGTGGACTGCTTCCTTCTTCCTTTTGGTAGCTCTGCTCTGATTACTATACTCTGGAAAGTGCTGAGTCTGGGCTTTGAAGCTTTCATTCAGCTCCTAGGTGTTGCTATCTTAACTGGACCTGCCTTGGTCCATCTGTATGTTCAAAGTGTGGTTAAATTTAACTGTCCTTACCAACGAAGATAGTGTTCCTGTATGTATGATGTGCCAATAGCTAGGACAGGCCTTTATGCTTTGCCAAGTAGGTTACAAACAACATTTTGTTATCCCTTCTACTCATCCCTTGTCACAGTGTTTCAGAGGCACCCCTCTTTCTCAACAGCATTGACCACTATCAACATGGCATCGTTTGAGAAGGATTCTTTTATTAAGCTTCTTCAAATGCAGGTAAGATTTTCAAGCCATGCAGAGTTGTGTCTTTCCTCAAAATTTGCTGTCTATGCAATTGATGTTAGAGGACACAGGAGGTATGACAAAGATATGACCATCTTCCCCTAAGCCTTGGTGGAGTTCAAAGCCACCTGGTGAGAAGTGGTGAGAAGGAACTTTCTTCTACCATCTCCACTTACGGATCACGTCAGCGAGATTACTTTGGGAAGCATGAGGGGCTTATGTCCGATGAGAAGTAAATATGACGAGAGGGGGTGAATGGTGTCTTTCCTCTTAGAGGACAGTTAAGAAATGGGCTTTTGATGGTGCTTATGGGAGCTTATTCTTACTTGCTGGTGCTTTTACTAGAATGTTAAGGTTCTGGGCTGGTTGCTGCACTGAAAATCCAGAAGAAATATTGGTGGAAGGAGATGGGTATATTCAAGATCAGCCTTAAGGAATGTAAACTTTTCTGTCTCAAACCTTGATTTTAAGGGAGCAAGGTGTCTTAGTTAGGGTTTCTGTTGTTGGCAAGAAACACAATGACCAAAGCAATTTGGGGAGGAAAGGGTTCATTTCAGCTTATACTTCCAGCTGACAGTTCATCACTGAAGGAAGTCAGGGCAGGAACTCAAAGTAGGAACCAGGAGGCAGGTGATGATGCAGAAGCCATGGACAAGCACTACTTTGGCTTATTCTCCATGACTTGCTCATCCTGCTTTCTTAAAAAACAAAAAAACAAAAAAGCTTGTAATTTACTCTATGTGGCTTTCACATCACACATCTCGTATTCACTCTTTGCTCTTACAACTTCCCCCCAACCAAATCAAATAAAATACAATTTACGAGAAAGTAAAAAGAAAGAAGAAAAATCTCATCATAGAAGCTGTAGTGTGACACAGTGAGTCACACAGTATACCCTTTACTTGTGAGTGTTCATTGCAAAGAGTCATTGGTTTGGCTCCAGGCCTCTGGTTTCTTCTATACTATGAAACCTGGGCCCTTACTAGGACTCCTCTTGGGTATTCTGCTATTGTCCTGTATCATGGAGCTTCTGCAGCTTTGGATCCGCAGGACCAGCACCTTCAGGTGCTCCAGCAGATCATAGATGGGGTGGATATTGGGGTGGGCCCTGGTTCTGAGCCAGGGTGGTTGCAGGGTTAGTCAGCCCGATTGTTCTCACCACCAGGGTAGCTCTCCAGCACTGCCCTGGCAAGGGGCAAGGGGCAGGGCCAGTTCTTCTGCTTTCCTGCCCTCAGGGCCAGCTCACTCATACTCCCACCACCAAGGGCAGCTCTATTGTGTTACCCAGGTGAGGTGCAGGGGCCCTCTCTCTGGTGCTGCAGTTGATAAGCAGCAAGGGCAGCTCTCCAGATCTCATGACCTCGGGGCCAGCTTTCCCACCTGCCACAGGCAGTGATGGACATGTGGGGCATCTCTTCCCCACCCAGGTTACTGGCAGATGAGGGGTGGGGCCAGATCTTCCAATCTTACATTCTCTGGCTGGCTCACCTATGCCCCTATAGACAGGGTCAGCTCTACTGTGCTGCCCAGGAAAGGTTCAGGACCTAGGCTGATAAGGAGCTAGATTATCTTTCCTGCTTGCCACAGGTGGTGGTGGGAGCAGGGAAGGGTATCTTTTCCTCATCCACACCACCACATAGCAGACAAGGGCAGTGGGACAAGCTCTCCCACTCTCATGCCAACAGGGTCAGCTCTACTGTGTTGCCTTGGGGAGGTGTAGGATTTGTTCTCCCGATTGCTACACCCATGAGGGTCAGGGCCAGTTCTCCCCAGTGTTGTAGCCAGTGAAGGGTGGAGCCAACTCTGCAGTCCTATCTTCTTGACCTTCAGTGGTAACAGGAGCTATGGATATCAACACAGACCATGGCTGCAGCAGAGCCATAGACCCAGACATGGGTCTTGGCAGCAGCCCAGGCCCAGACACACCATGGTGCAGACACTATGCAAACAGGCCACCCAACTCAGCCTGCTCCTCACTGCCTTCACCTCTTCAGATCTGCCTCTTTCCACAGGATAGAAACCATTTTGTTTCTCTGACTCCCATACCTTACCATATATTTGCTTGCCATAATAGTGCCCAACTACCTGGTGCCACAAGGTGCTAGGTGGGGCCCGTTTTCTCCTCTTCAACAGGGTAGACATGTGGGTCCTCTTCTCCCACTAAGTCTTTTTGCTTTGTTTTGTTTTGTTTTACATACTAACCCTAGTTCCCCCTCCCTCCTCTTCTCCTGCACCCTGCCTCAGAGGGGGTAAGACCTTCCTTAGGGAGTCAACAAAGTCTGGCATACCAAGTTGAGGCAGTATCAAGCTCCCCCTCTACCACCCGCCCCATCAAGGCTGAGCAAGATATCCCACCATCCCACCATAAAGAATGGGCTCCAAAAAGCCTGCTCATGTACCTGGGATAGGTCCTGGTGTCACTACCAGTGCCCCCCACATCCCCCACAGATCAAGTCACATAATTGTCACCCACATTCAGAGGGTCTATTTTGGTCCCATGTAGATTCCCCAGCTGTCAGTCCATATCAGGTCAGCTGCCTCTGTGGCTTTCCCAAATCATGCTCTTGACTGTCCCCCCATGTTCACATGATTCCCCCTCCCTTTCTTCCACTGAACCCCCCGGAGCTCAGCTCAGTGTTTCAGGATTCCCACCTGGGTCCGGTAGTTGCCACTTCAGAGCCCCCAAATAACACACAGAGACTCTATTAGTTACAATGCTATCGGCCAATGTCTAGGGCTTCTCATTGGCTCGTTCTGTCTTAAGTATTAACCCATAACTACTAATATATAAATATATTTCTACAAGGTTTTATCTTAGCGAGAATGCCAGACGCATGCATCCTCTCCTCCTGGGATCACGTGGTGACTCCCTACTACATTTCCCAGAATCCTCCTTCTCTCCTAGTCTCACCTGTCCTGCTTCCCTATTTGCCAACAGTGTTTTATTCATCAACCAATAAGAGAGTCATATTTACAGAATGACATCTCCCATCAGCTCAGTGGTTGGCTGTCCCACTCAGTCTTAATGGTGCAGGGCAGGGCCATGTTTTCTCCTTGCTGCCTTGGGCAGTCAACCTGCTTTCTTATAGAACCCAGGACCACCAGCCCAGGGATGGTACCACCCACAATGGACTTGTCCCTCCCCATCAATCGCTAATTAAGAAAATGCCTTACAATTGGATCTTGTGGAGGCATTTTCAAATGAGGTTCCCCCCTTTCAGATATCTGTAGCTTGTGTCAAGTTGACATAAGACTAGCCAACACACAAGGTTAGGTGTTGAATGCTTTAGTGCAATACTGGGTAGAAAATTCTTGCAGATGTTGACATCTTCATGTGCAGCCTCTCATTTCTTTGAAAGTGGTAATGGGTAGAATTTTATTCTGAATATAGTCCCTTGCTTTTTTCTCT